ATATTTTAACGAATAGTGCGAACATTAATGTCCTGTTTTTACACAATCAATTTTTCCGCTGAAGCGTAAAGGACACGGCGATATGCAAAAATATTTTAATCACAATGATTAAACGACCGATCGTACTTGTTTAAGACTATCAGGGGGTAATATCCGATAATTTACTTCGGACAAAATGTATGTTTCGTCCCCTTTTTCACTATATAAATAAATCGTGGATTGTTTATTCCGGAAAATGCGTTCTCCAAAATTTGTCAAAGTATTCGCTGATAAAACCGATGAAGAATCAGTGTATATTGCGAGCAAAATCAACACACGCGTCCCTGAGAACTGGACGCATAACTCGTGGAAAAATCCTGTTGTCGGCCAGGTTGCCGGAATCAAAATATCGAGGTCGATACTTCAAAAAAACGAACGATTAAGACCCTCGAATCGAGCGTCGATGTTTTCAACAAAAATATGGAAAATCAACGTAGCATCAACTTTATATATTTTTTTTTTCACAAAAATGCAATCGCCGTCTCGCGTTCTCAAATTGTAAAAAGTGATGGGTACCACTCACGGCGATTACTTTTATTATCTACTATACCAATTTGCGTGCAACGCAGGCTCGAGTAACGCTAATGGACGTTACGAAAATTTACTCCTTCGCCACAGCGATTTGCGCAGGGTGCGTCGGTGCGACGAGAGACATTTTCGAAAAAGAGAGCGGTCGATTCCGATGAATTAAGAGGTCGCGGGAAATGAATAATTGAGATTACTAATGAGGTCTCGCGATATGAAAGTAGCGAAGAGAAATGCGCAGCGGAATATCACCCTCGTAAATTTCGCGCGGTCTGAGGGTAAAAAATGCAACGGGGTTGGCATCGAAGGCATCGACGTCGCGGGTAGGAGCCGCTGGGTCTGCATTTTATTATTTCAGAGATTTTTCCGCGGAGAAACGCGGGCCGATGCGTGGCATCTGTGCATCCCGTTGGTTTGCGCGTTCGGGATCGATGATAGATCGACGAGGGGGATGAGAAAACGACCGCGGCAGGATCGATCCCACATCCAATCGCTGCCTGCCTCTGCGTTTCCGATATACGCGCGGACGTGTACCATATCTGCGAAAGAGGACGCGCTCCGGCTGGCACGATCCCGCGGCGGACCTTTCTCATCGCGTTTCTTTCCACGATATGCTCGCGAAGAGACACATCGCTCCCCGTGAAACGCCCCGCTTCCTGTATCACTGTCTCCTTAAATTTTCCGCGGCGGAATGAAGCGCGATATCTCTCGGCATCGCATGAATATCAACGGCGCGCTCCGATCCTCTCGCCGAGATTTGTGGCGGATTTGTGCCGCGATCGTTTCCGATCCTCGTCCCTCAGCGAGAATTTGTCGCCGCGCCTAATTGGATCGGCCAGGAGAAATAATTGGCGCTGACGTACGTTGCATCGGTATAAGTATTTATCGCTGCTATTTATTGATGATAATCAACGAGATGTATGTATTGCAGTGCAATCTCGTTTCCGTTTCTTTTTAATATTGTCGAGGATACGAAAATGGTGTAGTTTAAAATGCGCAGAAATGCGCGATTACTATCTCTCGCCTATCGAAAATTGCTCTTCCATTAGCGCTTCGGGAAATCGACCGTTTCGTCAAATCGTATTTAAATAATCCACTTTCGCCCGCCCCGCGTAATACAATAACGAATGTCGTCTGCCTTCAACGTGCATTCCCGTCTCGGTTTATCGAAGGATATTTACGGGCGCGCAGACTTTCTAATCTCCCCGGAAACGAAGGATTTATCGCCCCGCGTCCTCTTCCAACCGTTCCCGACGCGTCCGTCGTTCTCGCGGGATATTCTCCTCCTCGCCTCCTCCGCGCAGCCCGGCATTCGAGATTGGCTGCGGCTGGAAGCGGCCAGAACAAATGCGGCCCTACCGTAGGACTGATAGGTAGATCCCGCGTGACGCAGGAATTATTCTGCGGCGTAACGAGCTTACGATCCTTCATGCGTTCACGTTGTTGTATTATCTCGTCAAAAACCCGCGTCACGCTATCGACGTTTCGTTAATCCCCATCGGTTAACGCTCGAATCAATTAATTTCAATCGCGCGTCAGTTCGACGGGAGTCCAATTCGTGTTTCTTAACGAGAAACATTGAAGGCTCCCCGAGTCGAAATTTCGCTACTATTTTGACACTTTTAAGGATAATTTACACCTACATAGACCAGCAATAACCTACTTTGATGATACTAAATTTTTTTACTCCTCCCTTGAATCTTTAATTCTAAAAATTTACTTTAGACCCTACTTAAAACGATCTACTTTAATGCTAAATTGGCAAAAGCAGAAATTTCCGACACTATCAGTTTTAAAGTAGGAGCAAATTTGTACTTGCAGTTCGACCTCTTTTACTGTCTTAGGTCCTGCTATAATAGAATCAAAGGTTCAACACAGGGCCAAAATTTTGACTCGGGAATCCTCCTGAAACACGCCAAGTCTTTTCATATTTTATCGAACGCTAATATTTTTGAAAGTGCAATGGAAATTGAATTAAGTCGATAAAATGTTCGTCGTATAAAATTATTCAAATTAATCAAAGAATCAAACGGTGAGCTGGCGATGAGCTGTTTGCGCGTACACGTTCGTACTTTGGCGCACGGTACAGATATGTTGGCGTAGATGCGCTTTATGTGATAAAAGTTATATCAAATATACATTTTATCGGCTGAAAATCGCTCGGGAAGCACGCAACGAATGGACTCGTATCGCGCTCTTTTTCATCCGCAGCGTCCCAATAACCGGATGTTGCAATCACACGGTGTATAATGGCCGCATTGTTATCCGTTGGCCGACAGATTGTGTACGCCGACCGGATCGATTATTGCTGACAGAGTGAATGACCGGCAAACGCCGCGTGTGCCCGCGTATACTACGGATTACGGTTATCGATTACGGGAATCGAGCACGCCGCTTGCCGATATCGATCGCCGATATCGTTACGCCCAGCACCGTCGACGACGCGGCGTCCTAACCGCGCCGGTTAACGGCGCTGTCCCCCTCGGTGCTGCGCGTCGCGAAACAGACCAGGGTTTAATCGTCCGCCCCTGCTAATCGTTTGCATAATGCTGTAACGCCACGTGACACTTTTTGCTTGGAGCATTACGCGATTGCGTTACTGTACTGTCAGGGATTGCCCTAGATCGGCGGCAAGTGGACAGATAGCATCACTTGGCGCAATATTTGCGTTAGCAAACGCGTCAGAGGGCTATTTCATAAGCTGTGGACTATCGAGAGTGGAGCTTTTTGCAATAACGCTGCAAAAATACATGGATACACTGCGTCGTCCCATAAGCAATGCGATTTTTTACGAGGGGGTAAAGCCCGTATCAGACCACGGATGGAGATGGAGATTGGATTGAAAATTGACCAATTGGAGTAAAAGTTACTAGACTCGAGATTAGTGAACTTTACTGTGATCGATCAAATTTCAATCTAATCCCAATCTCAATCCGTAGATCAATCCCTGACACGGGCTTTAGCGGTTTTATGAAAGTGACGCCTTCCACCCTTAAATTTTACTCAGAAAACAACGTACTTAGTAACAGCGCATTACGTACGACTCCCGTATATCTATTACGCAACATTGCATTATTAATTGCAACCAAATACAAAATACTGCACTATTTACGGGACAGCCCGATAATACTGAAACGTTATTGTCCAGTTAAATGGAGTCTTGTTCTAAAAGTTCTTTCGGAACTTGAATGCCGAGTCTAATGTAGGACGTCGAAATTTGAGAGCTTGAAAAATTCGCCACTTCGCGAGCACAGAGGGTAGCGTTCGGAGAAGGTATCGATCCTCGTGGGAAAACATTTTGCCATAATGTTGTCGGGCACAAGATTGCAGGGCGTACAGTATCGAATGCCGGCCTCGCAGGTGTAACAGGCAATAAAGTGTCCGAAGTGTACCGAAGTTCCGAACGACGGTTGATCTATCGAAGAGGATTAGTTGTTCGTGGGGAAGGTTTTAGGTTCTAATTGGCCGGCCGGAGACCGAGATCAGGAAACCGAGAGGTGTCCGAGAAGCTGGTCACGAAGTGACTGAACTTTTTCTCCCCTTATTCCCGGTGCCGCCGGTTCCACCGACCCTGAAAGAATTTTCACTACGTAAAGGAACGATTCGTAACTCGTTGCGCTAGACCTTTTTATTTCCCGCCTTACGTCGGCCGTCCGCAGTCCACGTGGATGGCGCTTGTCACAAGTTTTGGCCCGCGCGTTTATCCGCAACATTTTTTATTTTGGCCTGTCACGCGAACACTGGCGCAACACGTTTTGTTACGCGAAATTTAAATTAAGGCGCGATTACTAATGTTACGTGTCCGCTTTCTTCTAATCCGCTGCGTGAAATGCCGCAATTTATTCTTGTTGCTGAGAATTTCGGAGAACTCTCGTCGAAAATTTTTTTAAACTCGACGGATCGCGAATGGCTCGAGTATAAGGTCGGTATTCGTAGTCCGATCTCATATTCAAGACTGTTTCAAGATCATCTTTAGATACTCCGTAGCCAATGAAATGTTCCGTATTGCATCTTTAGATAAATTCAAGACTTGAATATAAGATCCGACTATAAATACCGACCTAAGTCTGCGTTCTGCACATCAATCGTACGCGGAAAAAAACAATATCAGTGTAATTGAGATAAAATCGTATTAACGAATGCAAAACAAGAGATAATTGTCTTAACAATGTGGATATTTAGTTCAATGCTTCAAATTACAATCCATAGCGAATGCAATTGAGTGAATTATTTATGTTTGTGGCAACCCGTGGCGTCAACGTTCAATTCAAGCAACTTCAGTTTTGTTTAATAGCATTTTTTCCCCCCCCCCGTGTACTTCGATTACAATAATCTTAATAAAAGCATAGCGAACGGAGCTTATCTCTTTGTCAAAGAGCCAGGTCTGCCGTTGTGGTGTTACATCCCGCTCACGCGAGACGAATTATGATTTCCAGCTGAGCGACGGTACCGTGTCCGAGGCGCCGCGGCGCGTCGCCGTCGAGGGTGGTCCCGGAAGCGGCCGAACCACTCTCTGTCTGCGATTACTGCACCAGTGGGCGAGTCAGAGCGACGGGCCCGCACTGGCGTTTATCGTGCCGCTGCGCGAGCTTCGCGGTAGCCCAGTCCTAAATTATCTGGCGCGAGAATTGTTCCCGAGAACGGCCGCGTTGGGCGACGCGGTCGCCCAGGTGTGGCGCACCTTGCACCTGATGGAGGACCGCGTGCTCTTCGTCCTGGACGGTTACGACGAGTGCGTGGGCGGCCGGGCGTCGCTCGGCGACGCGGCCGACCTGCTGGAGGGACGACTGTTTCCGGACGCCAGGATCCTGGTCACGTGCTCGCCCAGCAACTCGACCGCCCTCGCGCCCCTGGTCCAACGCAGGATCCACTTGGCCGGCCTCGAGTGGCCGCATGTCGAGCGGCTCTGCGTGGCCTATTTCATTCACAACGACATCGCCGAGAAGGCATGCGAGTTCCTGGAGGCGCTCAACGTGCAACCGCAATCCGTCAGGCAGCTCGGCCAGCATCCGCTCGGCTGGATCATGCTCTGCTGCTTATACCAGGTAAAATTTGCCATCTGACGTCGATACGAGGATTCTTAGTTGTCTTAGCTGAGTCAGAACTTTTTCAATGTCGAATCAGAATCCGTCCATTTTCTAACAGACGACTGGTTGAATCTATCAGATTTTTTTTCAGTGTAGCATTCGCATAATATCATAATTTATTAGATTAGGAAATAATTGCGGATTATTAATAATATCGGACAATTTTTGTTGATTTAAAAAAATATCTCCAACAACAAGGTGAAGTTGGCAACTTTTATTTCTGCATAAACAAATTTATTCAATACATTTTCCTAGTTTGCTGACAAAATTCGTATATAATACGACTACAGAAATCCGTTTTCTCCGTGCATTCTCTAAAGATTATTCACTTCGCGGTCCAGACAATGTACAAGATAGAAAGCTTTAGAAAATGATACGGAATATCCTGATCCACGGGCACGATTTTCTTTATCAGGACTCCGGAAGCCTGCCGACCGAGACAAGTGCCCTTGTGCAAGCAGCGGTGAAGTGCATCGTGAAGAGGAGCTTAGATCCGCCGATTCCCTATAACGAGGAGATCCCGGGCCATTGTAGGAAGCGCCTCGAAGACTTCGGCAAGGTGTCCCTGGCTGCCCTGAGGGAAGGCAGATGCTGTTACACCGAGGCCGAGCTGAGGGCGCGGGGTGGCGGCATCGAGGTCACTCGACTCGGCTTCCTCACGAGGGGACTGACCTTCGGTCAGAGACGCAAGCCGGACCTCTACACGCCCATCCACATGGCGGTGGCGGAGTTCCTTGCGGCGTACTATCTGACCTCGGTGGCGCAATACGCTAACATTCTGCGCCGCGAACTGGAGGGCCTGCCCTCGGGCATCATCGGCCATTTGGCTGGCTTGCTGGGCTCCAAGACCCATCTGATTCTGAATCAATTGTGCCCGCTGGAAGTGCCGCCCAGGGCCGTGTTCTCGTTGCTGAAGGCAGCCGGCGCGTCCGACGGCAACATCTCGGCGGTCTGCCGGCTGGTCGGCGCGGGCCCCGGATTCGGGCCCGCGCCCAACGAACGGCCCCCGGCCCCGTTAGTGCACACGTCCCCACTGGAGCTGGAGGGATGGGCCAGGATCCTCGAGAGTCCCGCTTGTACCCTCGAGGCGCTCGAGGTGGTGTTCCAGGTGGAGCGTGGATCCGATCCGAGGTATCTGGACGATTTCTTCGACGCGCTCGCCGGCAACGAGAGCGTCAAACTCGTCAGGATCACGTCCCTGCTGGGGCAGGAGTTCCCGGCGGACGAGGCGCAGCGATTGGCCGGACACCTGAAGAGTGTGCTCAGCAAGAAGAAGCTCAACGACTTCGAGCTTGTCATCACTTGTCTCGAGGAAGCGGCCCATGATAGGTGAGTTCTTTTCAAGGATATGTCCACTCGGCGGAGCGAACTCCAAATCGTTCTTTAACTTGTCGCGATCTCCCCGAGGATAGCAAGTTTCGAACAAAGATTGTCAGCTGAACTCGCTTCAGGAGAATAAACTATGTACAACGCGCCTGACCCGTTTACTGTTACATAATTGAGTTGCCGAGGCTGGTGCACAAGCGGGAAGCTCATGCGGGATTTTTATTTCGACTTACTTGTTTTTACCAATCCGCTTAATCGCTTCGTACTTACCTAATTTTTTATGTTTTTTATTTCTTCTACTGCCAGGTCTATTGCCGCGTCTCATCGCTTTTGTTCACTTACCTTAATTATCTTTTATCTTACCGCGATTGAATTTTCACCTAAAATTCTCGCGCTATTGTTTCGGAACTTCTCAATTAACAACGGACCGTAACGATCATTTTCCGCGTCAAAAAGTACCGGGACCACTTTACCGGACTCATCGCATCGATCCACTTGCGTGATTCAATAGCTCGGAGGATAAAGAGCCTAGTGAACGTGTCGGCATTATTGCACCTCGAGGACGCTCGATACGGCGCCGTCGATAGCTTCGACGACGACGAAGAGTTATTACAGAAAGCCTGCTTGTTCGCTCGGTCGTATATGAGGCTGGCCAGGACAAGCGGCCGGCGAGGATATTTGCTCTTCCGCGCCGCGAAAAGAAGCGTAAAAGACGAGAGGACGAACGAAGATCTATATTTAGATTTCTACACCGAAGCGTATCAAGTTAAAAGAACGAAGACGAGTAAAGGGAACGAAATTAATGAAAAAGTTTGAGTCTTTACGTGAATAGATCTCTATATTTATATCGAGACTTGCACGTATGATCGGTTGTGAAAAGGGAAAATTACACCTGGGAAAAGTCGTGAATTTTTCGAAAACGTCACATTTATTTAGCACAAGTTATGCGATATACAAATTTTTTTAGTACGTGATACGTTACAGTATAATTAACATTTTTTAGCTGTATACATTATCCCCGTAATAACCGTAAATATTTTAAAACGTCGGCCGTCGCTGCGACACGCTCGTGAACATAATATAAATCATCAGGATTTATCGTTAAGCCCGCCGAGAAAGAGTGGGACCGTCCCCCAAAATTTTCATCGGGCTCGCGCGATTCCCACGGAGATGTCAAAATTGAGAAATTTGTTTTGTCGCGCGACGAAGGGCGACGAAAGGGTCCATCGCAAGGATATTTGTCTTTGCCCGAAGGGAGCGAAGAAATGGCAGACGTGGAAAAAGCGTGTTTACCTTGCGAGAATCGAGTGAATGTACATTCGCATACTTGCGCGCCTGACTCGCTCACAAACGGGAAAACCTGTGCCGAGGAATAACTGTGGTTTTGAGAACCCGTGAGAAATTCGACGACGGCCTCATAATGAGAACTGTAATGATTAGAACGGTCGTGAATGATCAGGGTACCGTAAAAGAAAAAATTGTGACAGAAGGCATTATCGTCAATCTTCCGTAAATTGAAATAAAAATAATCGTGGCGTCGTTTAATTTCTTCTTATTGTTAAAATGATAATTCGCGGGTTTCTAGAATAAAAGATTTATGCCGCGGTGAATTCGCATACTCTGCAAATGCGCCGAGTTACCTAGATTGCAATAATTAAACTGCCGATTTATCGCGCGAGACGCCCGAGTCGAAATTTTGGTACTATTTTGACACTTTTAAGGATAATTTACACCTACACATAGACCAGCAATAACCTACTTTGATGACACTATATTTTTTTACTCCTGCCTTGAATCTTTAATTCTAAAAATTTACTTTAGACCCTACTTAAAACGACCTACTTTAATGCTAAATTGGCGAAAGCAGAAATTCCCGACACTATCAGTTTTAAAGTGGAAGTAAATTTGTACTTGCAGTTCGACCTCTTTCACTGTCTTAGGTCCTACTATACATAGAATTAAAGGTACAACATACAAAATTAATGGTTCAATATAGGGCCAAAATTTTGACTCGGGCTGCCTTGGATCTTTAATTCTAAAAATTTACTTTAGCTTCTACTCAAAAGGACCTACTTTAATGCTAAATTGGCAAATTAAGGGTTCAACAGAGGGCCAAAATTTCGACTCGGGACATGGACGAGAAAGGGAAGTTCCATGTATTAACTTTTTTTTTTTCGTTTGCATACTCCCGCATTTTTCTTGCTGCTTCACCGAGCGTAATAAGAGTGTTTTACACATTTGTGAGCACAATGGATGCACAGGCGTGTGATTGCATACACGCAGTAACGCAAGGATGCTTTTGAGCGAACTTTCTCGAGGCTTTTCGCCTATGTTTCCCCGCGGTGGATTTTAATTTCTTGCTTCCTCGGCTCAGCTCGAACCTTTCTTCCGTTTTATGCGCGCTCCCGGCCGTCACTCGCCCGTTTCAAGCTTTATATTTTTCGATCCCGCTGAGACGCTTTAACTCTCCCTTTCTGCCCGTGTCCCCGGGGAGACGGAGAAAGTATTTCTACGGGCGGGTTCATGAACTCGATTCACCGATGAACTTGCCGTCGCGCCGATCTCGAATTCGAAATTGAGCGGTCGTGGAATTCGTAAACGCCGGCTCGCTCTCAGAATACGTTATCGCGATTGTCACTCGTCTATAAATTTTTACAAACGTTAAGATGCTCTATCATTAAACAGATCTGTCCGCGATATCAATTTATTATTTCCTCTCTTTCTCTTCGAACTCTCGGTTCTCGGTCATAAAGTTTATTTTGGATTAGTCTTTCTTAAAAAAATTTTTCTTTATGAACTTTGCAACACACGATTTTGTGTAAAACGTATTTAATTATATTCCAGTGTAGTGCTTTACGTCAATATTATCGACGATGAAAGAAGTTGGTTACAGTCACCAGTGGTGATTAAAAATTAAAACAGGAAATTAATAAATTAATAAATTACAAGTATAGGCTGTCTTAGACTCGCATTGGCCATTCTTGTGTGTTGTTTAGTTTTAATGAGAGTCCTACTTTAACTCTATTGTTTGAAACAGGAAACTTGTAGTCAACCCGACTGGCGTATTCCTTTATTTATTTAACACAACGTTTCGACCCAATTTTTAGGTTCTTATCAAGCGATACTGCAAATCAACGAACGTAGGTTCGTTAATTTACTTCCCCTGGTTTTACTTAATGACTAACACAAAATCTTTTAATTCCGTATGTTTGTTGATTTGCGGTACCGCTTGATAAGGACCCAAAAATAGGGTCGAAACGTGTTGTATTAAATAAATAAAGGAATATGCCGGTTGACTATGAGTTCCTGTTTCAATCAATATTATCGTTTTGCAAGAAGTCCGGAAGAAGAGATCTCCCAACGGACGTTTCCCATTTTCCGAACAAGACGCGAAACTATCTCGCCTTCGTCACGCTTAAGAATTCAATCTCATTCAGTCACGAGGTCAAGAAACGTCTCTTTATCCTTATTGGGGAATGTTTCCTTCGGGTAACATACCTATTGCTTTTCTCGAATTATATCTCTAAATCTGAATCAGTGGATAGTCGCTGATTGGCAGTGACTATTCACTGATTTATCAGCCCTAAGTATGCCACTGATAATCAGCTAAATTCAACTGGTAAATCAGTGAACTGATCGGATGCTGAATGAATCAGCGAAGATATGCTGATTTAATCAGTTATAAGTTTACTTATTGATTAGTGAATGTACACACAATGTCCTGGCACAAAGCAACGTAGAAGGTTATGTCATCTTCTTCTCCGAGAAAAATTTTACTTGAGAGATGGATCCGAACCAATCAGAAATTCTCGAAAAAGTTTCGGAATGGCCATCGAATAAAATTTTCCTCAGAGAAGAAAGTTTCGGAACGTAACCCTAAACTACAATATAACCTAATGTACTATATGCCATGGTATAAGAACTGGCGTACGGTCGGCTCACATGCCAGTTCTCATACCATACATCGATTTTTTCTTTCAATAACGCAAAAATTGTTACTTTTAGTAATGTGTGTATACTTATTAATGTGCTTATCCCAATAAAAGATTCTCTGGAGGTAAACTATAAACTCACGCACGAACTTGCTCAGAGGCACTAAATAAATGCAGAACGATATAACCACTGACGAATCAGTGAACTTCGCCGTTCTTGCTGATTGCGCAGCGCGTTCGGCCCTTTCACTGTTTCATCAGCGATGTAAGACGTTACTAATTCAATCAGTGACTTTTCCACTGATTCAGATTTAGAGAGATATATTTCGGGCGTAGCGCGAACTCCCCGGTATTTTTTTAGGCGGGTTGGGGGATAAAGAGGCTATTACGAATGCGAACGGCATATAACAACGTGAGTGCACTCTCTGCAAAGAGTGCGGGAAAATTCTCGGAAGAAAGCTCAGTAGAAAAAGAGACAAAAGGAGAGGGAGAGAGAGAAAGTCACGACGGAGAATTAAAGAAAACGACGAGACGCGCCGCGTGCTTTAACTTGCGACCGGACTCGCCATCTTTCTCCTTTTCACCTCTTCGCTCTCTTATTGAATCTCACGGTTTCAATCTCTTTGGTTTTATCCCGTGGCCCCGAGCTTTTCTCCGGAGACTTTCTCCCGTTGTATATATATACATATGTGTGTGTGTATATATCACGATTTTGTTCTTCACTCGCCGCTCCCCCTCGTACATTCGATTCTTTCGCCGAAAGATGGAAACATAGAGGAAAGTCCCCTATTATGCTCCTCATATGAGATAGCGGGATTTCTGCTAAATTAATAGGCATCGTCCGTTGATTTCACCATGAATTTATTGTCCCTGGAGTGAAGTCTGTTTAGTGAAAAATTGATCGTCAGATCGTGTAATCGTTGCGAGAAAAGATTTGTCATTGAATTTGGGTTGTTGAAAACTCTGCTATCTCATATTAGAAACCTATCTCGTAGTAGAGGACTTTCCTCCTTTCTGTAACTGCAGGATTAAACCGGAGTTATCGGATCGAAATTTCATGCCTTTGATGAGTATTTAAACCCAAACTGTTTGCAAACGACTTAGGTCTGATTTTCGTTTTGCGAATTAAGGGAGGAAACCATATCTCCCCGAATATTCGCAACACGAAAAGTATTTTCCGGAAGATCTTTCTCTCCGTATTGTATTCTCGCAAATGCGATTACGCTCGCAAGCTGGGCTTTCGTTCGCTCTGCTTTTCGTCATCGGTCTTCCATCCCGACGAATACACAGCCCTTCTTGAAGTCTCTTCAAGCTCCGCGAGAGCAGTATCTTTTCCGCGATGCAACTGCGAGGTTGAGGAATAAAGGGGGGGGGGGGGAACGAACACCTACCATTTGCCTCGGAGAAGCTCTCCCTCGACCGTGCGGCCGCCCGCTCATTGTTTCGCGTCGAAACGTTCTCCTCGCTTCAACCTCCACTTCCACAACCCTTTACCCTTCATTCTATCGCCTTTCCGTAACGTCACTTTTGTTCTAGTGGCGCGAGAATCGATATTACTGTCTATCTTTTCTATTCGGACGACGGAAATCGATCGGACCATCGCCGCCTAGAATATTCCTCGAGAGCGTATCCTTTCCCGATATTATACTGAAGCTGTCGTTGCAAGATGAAAGCCATAACCGAGCATAACGCGGTCTCATCAAGATCAGTACCTAATGACATTCGCAAATTTTTACACCACTCGTTGACCAATTCATAATTTGTTTCCAAATAGTTAGAGATTTTTTTATAGAAATGATAAAAAAATGCATCTAAAAACGAAATGATAATATAATTCGTTCTCTCTTTCAGGATGATTATTTAGAAGATAATTTACACGATCTTACCTTCAGTTATTTTTTCTAAAGTTATCCAAATTCCTTCTCTCTAATTTTGTATCTTTGTTGAAACATTATTAAATTAAGGGATCCCCTGCTCATTTAGGCGACCGAATACTGCCGAGAGACGGACCGTTCGCGTGTTTGTGAAATTCGCGATATTTTATCGCGTGTTTGGAGCTAGTTACCATACAAAGTGGCCGAGTTGCACGTGAGTCCTCCCCTGTTTTTCTTCCCTATTTCGCGTGAAATGCAGCAGATTATCACGTTTGCCGTGATGCGCCTTCTCAGTAGGAATTCTTCCCGCGTACCCGCCGATGTCGGAAGGCAGAACGAATACTCGATTAATATTACGATCCGCGTTACGAGAATGCTGCCCGTTTCCGCAACTGCACTTAGCCGTTGCTCTCGCGCTTTTCGCGAATGCGCTGCTTGCGCGCATCGGCCGCAATTCTCTCACGTCTCGAATGCGGAACGGCCAATTCCGCGCGTAGAAAGCTTCAGTCGCAGTAATGTAATTTCCTATAAAGGGGAGGCAAAAATCGAGGCGAAAGGTAGCAGTGAGGAAAGATAACGGGCAGGAACGGATAAAAAAGATGACCGCGGCGAGAGAAAAGCAAATAAAACGGATAATAAAACAATCAAGAAGTAAAACATATGGGAGAAAGAGAAAAAGACTGGAAAAAGCGGACAGCAAAAGGGAAAGAATATCAAATTTGTTCCAGATCTTATACTGTATATTTATTGACTAAATGTCGCAGTTAAATATTAAATGTAATAATTATCTGCATTTGCTTTTATTTACGGTCACTTACAGCGTTGCTGCATTTTCTACTAATCGTTAACTATTAGGGTAAAGCAATCAAATTCGGATTAGATGCCAAATGCGGATCGAAAGCTTGCCGAGTCGAAGAATCGAAGCTTCGAAATTGAAAATCTTCGAAGAAAAATTACTACTCGTGTTACTATTATTAATTCCTATTCTATATAAAAAAAAGGCGTGTTAAGTCGACAGTCAAAAGTCTCGAAGTACTGTTGTACGCTTTTCCGAGATGCTGATTGGCTGTTCGCGCTTGTGTTGTCTAGTTAATATTAAACAATGCAAAGACGCGCGAGATGCATGATAACACATTATCTGACAATAAGTGGTGAGGTACGAAGGGGCCTTTCTCGCCCTCGTCATCTCCCTCCGTTACAGCACTTCGCGGAGGAGAGGGAAGTTCTAAACGCTAGTTAGAACTTGCGCGCTACTGACTTGGGCCAATTTTCGAGTACCGCGAGTAATCGGGATGTGCAACGCGGGCGTCTTCTCTCCCGGCTCTCGCGTTGTGTCGGTGCACCATGCGCGAGAAAATCCAGGCTTTCGCCTACCGTTCCCCGGAGGAGGAGGAGGAGGAGGAGGAGCGTCAGGACTTTGCATAATGTGTATCTACACGCGCTCGCGCACGCCAGATACGCCGGAGGAATAACGCCGCGAATAGACAGCGTGAAATGCGCATTACATATGCATAAATATATTCGCCGACGAGAGTCCGCCGAACTTCCGCGCCGCTAACTCGCCGCCGACCGAATTTACATCGGCCGCATCCGCGACGCGCAGCATATCCGCTCGCGCTCGCGCGTCTTGCGCGCGCAAAAGCCGGGGCTTCCCGAAAGTGCACCTCTCTCTCTCTCTCTCTCTCTCTTTGCCGCCCGTTTCGTCCCTCGTATCATCGCGCGCTTGTCAGATCCGCGGCAGTTTTTCCGCGCTACGCCGGAATGTGACGCGGCGCGAAACGTAACACCGACGGAAATTCCCTCCGCGCTCGCGTTCCATTTAACATAATTCAAACTCGAATATACATAACAGTTGCAATATTAACCACACTCGCCGAGTGAACCGATACCGCATGCATAATCCATACGCGAGGTTCGCTCCAAAAACGTTCGCAGTTTGCGACGGACAATTAATTTGCCACGCGCTTGTTTATATACGTTTAACAAGAAACTTATCGATTCGTTGAGAAACGTGTACTTTCCTCACTATTAATTTTTCACGCATATATTTCTGACCTCGAAGATATAAAAAATTGGCCCAGGTTTTATTTCACTTCAATCGGTTTAACCCTTTCGCGCGTTTCGCCCTCTCTTATTTCATTCGCTTATTCGCGCCCGCTGAGAATTATTTGACGTTATCGCGCGTTCGATGATAAAACACGAGAGCATGTCTAAGTGTCCCATTAACGCCGCCATTAACGCGATTGATTTCAGACTGGAGTGCGTGGTGAACGCTCTTTGTCGCGGCCTGAGTCACGCCTCCGGCAGCCTGTCGCGTCTGGTGCTCGACATGAATCTGTCCGGCGAGCAAGTGTCCCGGGTCTGCGAGGCACTTCGCGATTGCATTCAAGTGCAGGCGTTGCACTTGCCCCATTTAGGATGCGGGTGCGAGGGCCTGGCATCGGTCGCCGAGCTGCTGAAGGAACGGCCGCTGCTGGCACTCAACCTGGCCGGCAGCTGGGGCGCCAAGAACGAGGATCCGTCCAGCTCTGGCATCAGTATGGGTAAAACCTTGCCATTATTGCCCTCGATTCGCCGGCGCGTTGCCGCGGTTACTTGCTTTCCGTAAATTAAATATCGCGCTGAGAAAAATGTCCGATTCAATATGATCGGATAATCCTATTACGTAATAACAAACGGATGTATCCGATCAAATTGTATATCCGATGAAAAATACGGTCGGTTTTTCAATCAACTTTCATCGGTAACTGGCATCTCATCGGATAAATTTTATCGGACGTATCCGTAATTTAATCGGAGAACGTAATCGGAAAAATTAATCATCGGAAACGCTATTTAATCGGTTTATCCGGTGGAAATTTTCCTCAGTGCGGAATTATGTTCGTGATTATTTCCGATTAAATGCATAAAGTCGCTAAGACACCCTCGATATTTTTCGAAAATTACGAATTATTTTTATCGACACTTTATCAATGGCTCGTCATAATTTCCTTGGATTCTGTAGAACTGATCGCGGCTACTCGAGGTCTTAATTGAAAAGTACTTAATTGCTCTTTTTTATTTTTATCTGAATATTTCTGCCAAAAAAGATAAAATAACGATTATTTGAAGAACAGCGAGATACAACATTTGTCAGATATATTAATATTTTATTATTCTGAATGGGTAATAATTATGCAGTTCCAGGCATTCTTCGTGTCATTTCGCTTAAATACTTTGCTGTGATTTTATTCCAAAAATCGTAAACATAAAAACTGTTGAAACAGAAGCTGTAGCTGCGAATAGAGCCACTTCGGCGGTCAACTTTTTAATTAAAAAATGTAGCTCTCGGGACACACGATTTACATTACATACGTATCACATTACATGTGTATCGAAAGCGCATGGCTGCATATTTCGCGCTGAATCTCATCGACAAGAGTGCCAGCTTTGTCGACCGATGCGAATCGCGAATATCGGTACTTAGCGTCATTTGACGTCCCCGAATTTTCCGCAATATCAATCGCATTCCACGTTTTATCATTACTTAGGTGAATTTTTTTTATCGAATCGTTGCTTTTACGGCCGGAAATATTTTTTCTCCGTGCATCGAAATAATTGAGTGATTTTTTAGAATCTATAATCCACCTAAAATGACGAAAGAATCATTCTATAGATGCTACGATTTCTTTTTAGAAATTAATATAATTTATGAAACGTTATACAAGTGAAACTATTTTTATTTAGAAATTTTTTTATAAATCTAAATATTTTCTCTGTATCTTTGAATGTTCCCCAATGTTCGAGCGATTCTTTTTAAAGAGTGCTAATAGAAAATTAGCGAAACCCCCCGTAGATTTGTAGGATAGCACTTTCGCACTTCTGTCAGGATTATGTCCCATAATGGTTGAATCGCTGTCAACGGTCCGACCGCGGCAACTCGCGGGAGAGCGACAACGGTGACACGTCGCCGAGAAAACTACGTCAGCACAGTCACATCGATCCGACCGCGGCAAAAGTAACATTGTCGTGGATGTACGCTCGCCATTAACCCGACGCCGGAATTAGAAACTTGCGAAACGGAAGCGCGTGAATCGCGCCGGCAAAATCCGCGCGACCGAAAGTTGCGGCGGCGTTAAAACGAACTTTGGCCCTTCCGAGGCTTTAAGTCGCGCCATTTGCCCGCGGATACACCGGCTGGAATGCGAGGGCTCGATTTACTCGCCGCAAAGGCTCGCGGTATTCGCCACAATCGAAATGGCGATCGACAGTCAAATGGTAATCAGGAAATAAAATTAATACATTGAAACAGAAAATGAACGTTGTAATCATATTATAGAAATGTGCGATAATTTTTTGAGATTTGAAAAATAGAATTTAGCTTATTTTGCTTGGAAAAGTATTTATGCGAATTAATTTATAATTGTTGTATTATATGAAACTTTTAGAATGACACGCGATTTGGTAAATGAAGTATTATAAAATTAAATCGCCATGGAAAGTCGGACGATTTATTTCTCATTATTGACTTATTAAAATCAACGAAATTAAATACAATTTAAACATAAACATTTTTGGAAAAGGAAAATAATGAATTGTATAATCTTCATTCTCTGATCACAGAACGAAGATGAACTTTATTCTTCAAACTGAAAGCACGTTTAACATAATAATTTACTAATTCCTTTAAAATGGAATAACACATCAATTATTCAAGTTTTCATTAAAACAAAAGATTAAATAATTTGCATGTGAAATTTGCTTTAATAATCAACTTGTCAATATCATAAGCTATGAAAGTCGATAACCGATGACAAATTGGTACGCGTATAAGCGCAATTATCGACTTGACTATACGAACTTTATTATTGGCGAATTTTGATGGCTTGTAATGCGAAAACTACGGCAATCTCGGCATTAAAATTTCTAATTCTGATTGATCTCCAGAATATTCTGGTGAAACATTAATGGATACGTGGGACAGCCGGTATAAATATCCATACACCGCCGTGCACACAGATAAAAGCTTTCCTCTATCCCCCATAGTTCATTCGCAGCTTCGAAAAGAGGAGCAATTTTAAGCACGGTGCACGCTTCGGGGGAAGCCAATCCGTTTACAAGACCGAGCAAGAATCGCTCAGCTCGAACGAAGTAAGAGCAGCTCGTCGCATCCTCTCTTTCCGTGAAATTGACAATCGATCGGACTTAGAGCGACTACATCTCGCTAGGAAGCTCGCGACTTTTGCACCGCGCTATAATACTGCTCGCAGAGCAATCTCGAAAGGAATCACTTTCCGTCCACCCTACCGGCCATCTTTTTCTTGGTTGAAAGATCCTTGTAAAATAATAAATAGAGTTTCCTCGCTGTGTAATCGAAGATTACAGCTCGCGGTAAAAAAAAACAGGTTTATTTTTATTATTCGCTTAGGTGTTACATTCTCATACAGACATATAGCAAAAAAATTTCAGTTTGATCAAAAAAGGTCAACGCATGCGTTTTATTAAACAAGCGTTCGGTTTAATTAAACCTTTTTTATAAAAAAAAGGTAAAAAAAGACGCGCCCTTTAAAACCTGTTATACAAAACTACTTTCATTTATGCTGAATAAAGTGTTCGTAAAAAATATTTCAATAAAATGAAATATACAAAAATGGTATACTTCCAATAAAACATATATGTACAATAATTATATTGCAACACGAACACGTTGCTGATTTTTGTACAAAGAATGCTCGATTAAATCTAAAAATAAGTTAATGTTGCAGAATTTTGTAAAAAACGTTATTTTAAAAAATGTTGAAATCATAAAACTGCACAAAATGAAAAGTATAGTACAATACAATTGCTTTACGAAATTGAAAATTTCATCCACTTAATCTTTTTTTTTTTATATGACCATCGTGGCTGTGCTTCAGACAAAGATACACGCTGTGCCCGCTTCTCGGGCGCACACACTTGGTGTGTCTCTTAATAAAGTACTATAATGCACTAGATTTTAAGAAATAATGTAAAAATACTAAAAGAACGAGAATATTTTGTTAATTTCGTTTAAATTCATTCAAATTCGTTCGCAGCCCAATTATTTGTTTGAGGAAAATAAATTTTCCTCCGTAATTAAAAGAAAATCGATTTAGGAGGCAATTTAATAGCGTTTTCTGTTTGGACGGTTTGTATAGAGACCTTATCTGCCTTAGGCGGAATAATACGTCGTTTAGAATCACAACCGTGCAGCAGTGTTAATCCCGAAGTTTTTCTAATGGCGCCACGTTCCGGTCGCGCAAATGGCTCCAAACGAAACTAAGCGCTATTACAACTTTCGGACTGTGTGTAAGGTCTGCGCAATTAACGATTATTATGTTAGCTCGGAATTGAGAGTGCGCGCGAGTTTGCTTATCAACTCCGTTAAAACACATGGACCGCTGTCCGATATATCCGTATATTCATTAGGGGGATACGGGTAATACTTTGTATTTACTGACTTTATAATTACTTTCGAATTATCATAAACGCGCTCGAAATATTGGGGACTGATTATTCAAATTATTTCCCGGGCCTTTCGCTACAAAAGCTCGACATTGGCAATTTATATAAAAATATGTGAAAAATTTTGTTTTCATTTCTCACATAGAAATTAGCGTTTGCATTGCAATATTAGTATAAAGGCCGTTTAAAAGTTACAAGTTTCTTTTTCATTTAGTAAAAGCCCCAGATTCTCTTCAATTTCTTTAAAATCTAACTAAAACAGAATTATGGCACAATCTTTCGAATTTTTCTCTCTCTCTCTCTCATTCCTGATTTTAGAATTTCTGAAATATCTGTGGCTCGCCCGATCGGCCCCGCTCGTTCTCGAAAGGGAGTAACGTTACGCCCGAAGGATCACGTTTAGTTCAGACATCCCTTTCTAATCCTTCTGCTATTCCTCCCCCGTTCTCTCATCTTAGTCACGAAATCGCTTTGCATCGTCGTTCGCCGCAATGCGCGTTTTCCCAATCGTCGAGTACAGTTTCTCGCCGGCCAGCGGCATCCAATCACGCTAAAACGCCTTGGATAACATTGAATCGTCTCGAGGCCATTGTTGTAAGCAATACGCGTAACAGCAGCATCGTAAATTTACCTGATTGCTTTAAACGAACTATTGGTCGCACCGCGTAGAGACTGGAGTCACTCTTGCGAGAACGGTGGAGTAGAAAAATTGTAAAGGGATCGTGTGTGAAAATCAAGGAGTTTAATGTGAAAACGATATTTCATAGCGATAAAAGATTTTCGAAGAAGCACATCTTACAATCCGAGTAAATTACGCGTGCATGTATAAAAGAACTATTACATTATAATGTAAAGAAATAACTGCTTGAGAATAAAACGATGGAACGAAAATCCACACAATAGAATTATACATAGATAATTAATATCTGCGGTAAAAACGTAAAGTAATAGTTGCCCAATCGTTAGTATTCAATTCGTGGAATAAGACCGCTAAATTGTGAAAGTGCCAAAGCGAATAAAATTAATCCGCGAAATAATCTTAAAACCCCTTGACATTTTAGAAATGGCGCTTAATGCCTTACGATTTTTAAAATCTCCTTCGCTGCTTTCTTATCACTTTCGCGTTATATATGACGATGCCGAGTTTCCGAGCTTAACGAGTACGTAAGAAAAACAGCGAGTTTCTCGAGACGGTATTAAAGCAACGATTGAAATTATTTCTCACTTATATTACCGAAGCGTTTGTGCGCCGCGTTAGGGGATACGAAATGTAAATTGGACGTCGGGGGGGAAGCATAAGCTATCGGCATCGCGAAATTGCTTTTCCCACCGAAAGGATTGGACGTCACTTCCTTGTTACCGATCGCCCTAACTAGGTCGTCGCCGCCAATCGGACTCTATTATAATTAGTTTGGCACGACACGAGCGGATAAACGCGATGCAAGTCGCGCTGATCGATCGAAGAGCAAGAACTTTCCACGCCCCTGTACCGTGATCGAGTAAGTTTAGTCACAACGTAGCAAGAAATTTCTACCTTCGCATAAAGGAGACAATAATTAATACTGAATTATGCATTCGCGAGTCTCTCGGATAGGGAAAATAAATGAGTTTGCATTGAACTTTCTTTTCCATTATCCGAAAACATCGAAAGACAACAAATTTTAATGAGTCTAATAAAACTTTAGAGACTTCTGTCACCTCTTTTTCTCTCTCTCTCTCTCTCTAGAAACATAATATAATTAATTTATCGATAACCTTTATTCTCCATATTATTGAAATGCTTTCTATAAATTAATTTATTCGTTAATCAATTAATTCCCCTTTGTATCTCTTTCTCTCCCTCCATATCTCTTCGTAAAATTATTTATGAATTAGCTCGATTAACAGACAGAGGCCAAATCGTCTCGAGTGCATTAATATTAAAAGCTCGATTGTTAATCATAAATTACCCAATTATACATATATTAATTGTATCAAAATTATTTCGGCTTAAATAAATATCGATTTTCGTGTTTATTTAATTAATTTCGATTGCAATCTCTGCCGATAGCCTACTCTTAAAAAGAGAGAAAAGTGCGAGAGGTATTTAAAATGAAACGAAGCTCAAGGTCTTCTTTATTTTCTGCATCAAACGTCCAAATAAATTGATATGAAAAGGCTTTGTAAGACCGGCGGATAATAAGTCAAGTTCAAACGCGCGATATCAAACATTTTTCTCATACCGAAACTCTCTCGCGAAGAATTTCTTTCACCGCGAGTATCTCTTTTTACTTCCGCTCCTTACGCGTTATTATTTACCGTCGAAATATTATATTAAGATATAATAATAGCAAACGATATGTCAAAGGCAGTATTTATTCGCGTCGCTACACTCTTTTAAATGGGAGAAGCACACGAAATATTTATTCGCGCTTAGGCAAGCACAAAAATTCATGAATTATAAATCTATAAAATAGAATTACATACATTTATGTCGTAATATTTCACGGCACTTTAACATGACATATTTCGGTATCATAATACGCCAACTTAATTAATGTTATTATAATCGCTTTATGAGTGTCACGAGCATCGATGATTTATTAATGAAATCGCAAGTCCGCCACCTCGTCGGGTTAATCATCGTCCGAATGATCGCGTGACGTAACGCGATTTTACGTCCTAGTTACGACATAACTTCCTATTACGTGAAACTCCGACAGTGTCCCGGCGGTGTCCATCAATTTAATACTCGACAACGCCGACGACGACGACGACGGCGACGGCGACGAGAGGAAGAACGACACATTTGCATCGCGCGTGTCTAAGCACATGCTCGGGAAAGTGTATGAAAGTTCGTGTGAAGTTCGCGAACAAAAGTTAACACTTATTATAACAGCTCAACTTGGAAATTCTCCGGAAACTATGCGCGAGAGAGAAGGAGAGGGAAAATAATGTCTGCCAGTCGCGAGCGAGGACAGAAATCCTCGTTGCTGGCTGGTGGACACGACTTTCTCGTCACCGAGTAGACGGAATATAATTAATTCGGGGGAGATTGGACCAAGCACACGTTCTGTGCGTATTCGCGTGCGGGTAAAGAGACGAACGGAAACTTTGAAAGAGGCGGAAACAATACGGCACATTGAAATCCAATCGATTGGACCGTCTTTTTGCCGTCGCTTGTTGTTGCGGATCGAGTTTGCCAAAAATGTCTGTCACGAGGGCTGAAATTATTGCAGTTTTCTTTATTCGTGGTATACTGTTTCGTGAAATAATAAATGTTAATAAATGATAAAGAAAAATTGGGAGAGAGGATGCTTTCGAGTGTCTACCGCATATTTATGTTTTTGCTGGGACGTAGAGGCTTCGAAGGTGGTTTAAGTATCCAAGAGTTTCTCAAGGATCCAAGAGTGTCAAGTTTCTGAAGGATTCAGGGATCTAAGGATCGTTTAGTTTGCAAACTCTATGTAAGCTGGAGAATAGGGATCGAGCACTTTAGATTGCGCTAGAGGCTAAAAAGTATAAAGATTGTAAAATTGCGCGGGGAAGGGGAGGATCGAGCGAGAGATTTGAGCGAGATTTGCGCTAGTTCGACTCGGAATGGTATTACCGTGACGGATGACTCTCGTCGGAATTAAGCGTCGAGATCAAGCAAAGGCGAGCGTCTCAAATTAATATTCATCGTGGATCTCGCTTGCCAGTTTCCTCGAATTTTCCCGTACATCTAATTTTCCCCGACCGATATACACGTCCCAGATGAGATCACGTCCAAAAAGGAGTTTATGCACTCAAACCCGTACCGTGGAATCCCCCATTTGAGCTTGCCTGAACAGCGCATCTCTCGTTGAACATCCGGAGCACTGTTAACGTTAACGGCATCGTCGTAGCTACGGGGGGCAAAATAGGCGAGGGAGAGAGCACGGGTTTAAGTAGTTCAGGTTTAGACTTGTCAAATTTATTCACAGAGAGGAAAAGATTTTAATTTTTCACCCTGACTGAAATAATATTTTTCATAATGCATTCTTTACGGTTCGTTCCTAAAAGATGCTCATTTAGCGTCATTATTAAACTGATTAACACTTTAATTAGGCACACCATTTCGATTTCAGTTCAGTCAGAGAGTGTGTTTCAAAAAACGGTATTACTTGGCACGCAGTTTGCTGAAAAAATGGAATACGCAAAACTATTACTCGGCACGAAGATCCGTACGGAGCATATTTCTATCACTGGTTTTACTCTTGTTTCACTTTCTGTCACTTGCGCTATTCTTTGCATCATAATAGAATATCAGAAAATATTTTCTTTTAGAAATAAAACAATATCTGACTAATGTAATAGGTGGTGCAATGTAAGACACAGTATAATTATTTGAAGTTAAGAAACGTAGAAATAATATTTTAATTTTAACTTCTTGGATTTTCTACGCCACTGCTGGTTGCATTCGGCTGCAATTCTAGACGGATGCGATGGCAGAGCTCTCTCGAAATAGCGATAAACATTCCCTAATTTAATTAGTAATTACGAAACGCTCGTTGCAATGCGCCGGACGCGATGGCACAATTATCGTACGTGGTGGTGTACTACCGCTCGGATAACTCGTCCTACGTGGCCTGCCGTTGATTGATCGCGTTACACAGCGGGCCCGATTACAGAACAACGCGTTACCGCGCGGTTACGAGTTTAACGCTGATAAAATTCGCTCTGTAACCGAAATCTGCGTCCCGATTCAATAAAATCGACACTGGGAAAGAGAGAAAAATCTGTGCCACTTCGCGAAACCGGAAAACGGAGATGGTTATGGGATTTGATATCCGAATTCACTGTTTTCCGTTTATTCATTTACTCTCGTCAAATCATTCTGAACGCATCATGTTTCTTTGTTCAAAAATATTCATGTAGATTATGCTTATTCTCTTCATCTTTTGTTATTATATAGTGCACAAAATTGTTGTTTTTTTCCCCCAAAGAACTAGATGTATTTAAAAATTATTGAAAAGTGCAAGATGCACACAGAGTAAATTTACAATAAGTAGTAATTAAATAATGAAAAATCTCTTTCCCTCTCTCTCTCTCTCTCTCTCTCTTAGAATATCATTTCTATTCAGAAACATTTTATATATTACACATATATAAAACAATTAGAATACAAATATATTAATGAAAGCATATGAAAATAAAAATATAAAACTCTTTCATTTTACACAAGAAAGCTAAGGGTATCTGTGGCGATACTGCGCGCTCGCGGAATTACATAAATTGCATCCGTGGCCGAGAAGAGTATTTACCGCTATAAAGAAGCCTCTAAAAAAATTTATTCGTGACGGCAACCACCGCTTACGTTCCGTATAGCGCTCCGGCGAAGGTTACTATCGATAAGACAAGTGGAAATTGTGCGGGGCGTCTACCCCATAAAAAGTTACGTATCGTCATCACGTTGCTCGCTCGTACGAGAAGAACAAATCACCCTTCATAAACCCCGTCTTTCGGTTTTTCAATTTCGCGCTACCCTCCCTGTCCTTCATCCCTCCGCGTCATAAAGGTTTTCCGCGCGGATTTATTTAACTTTTCCTTTAAATCAATCGCACGGTAGGAACGTAGCTCCGTCGAGTTTAATATTTGATCCCGAGTACGAGTGTACGAGTGCTATACGAATATCGAACATTGCGGGAGGTCTTTTGTGTTTTGACCGCTTTTACAGCGATAATTGATAAGTAATATTTAATTCCCCTTGTATCGCTCTTATCGTTATTTCTTTCTTCGTTTGACTCGCTCTGAGACCTACACGGAGAGGTCGATATGGTTGCCACATGTCTAATTAGGGTTGGCGCAACCCCAATAAATAGTAATATTTGGGTCAGCTATATCTGTGGCTGCCTTACCCACATTGGTATGATAAGTAGTGGAGACAACTATAGGTGCGTTTTGTGCAGCAAACTTAGCGAATGTTGCGACACAGAGCAATGTAGATGCCCCTACTAGTTATACGGCAACATTTTACTTTTAGTTATTTTTGCCTTAGCCGGCCTCTCCGCGTGTAGAACTTTAAGATTGCAAAGTCCGACGATGCCATTCTGTGTGATGCGACAATGTCACAGGTTCAGGTTCAGGCTCCGGCTCCGGCTCCGGCTCCGGCAGCAGCGGCTGCGCATCCAGCACCCTCGGCACGCTACCGCTGAATCGCTGCTACTCGTCCTTACCCAGGGGCGCGCTAACGGCTTACGGCAGCCTGACACGACCCGCTACTCTACCGCGGCTACCCCTGGGCCTAGGCTTGGGTCCGGCGCCCAATACCGGCAACGGGCCTCTGCCTCAAAACGATCGGGATCGAGACAGCAACGGAAGCAGCAAGAGAAACAGCGACAGCGTGCTCTGCCATCGGCTGCCCTTGCTGCATCCTCTGCCCACGTGCGACGTCGCCAGTCATCAGGGCACCGGTTTCCACGAGATATTCAACGCTATCAGGTAATTCGTTTTGTCTCGCATGACTTTTTATCTTCTTGTCAAGTTATCGTTATTAATTATATGAAGGAAAAGGGAAATGGGCGGAAACACATATACTATTTAGAATTTAATTTAATCTGGAGACATCTTTGGATAAATATTATAGATATTATCATAATTATATATTTCTTTTATCTTTAACATTGTTTCTTTCATCGTGACACGACGTGAATGAACGTCGTTTCAGTGAACTCTCGCCATTTCTTTTGTCCATAAAACACCCTTTGCATCTGTTTTGCGGGCGCTCTTACACCTTCTACGTTAGAATAAATTTATTCGTGAGCGATATTATTTATCAGAACGCATGCGAATATGCAGTTACGCGCTACTAATCATCCGGGAGGAGGGAAGATTCAATCTGCGGCCACCGCGAAACGTTGATGCCGCATAAATCCCGATCGATCTTCGTCTATCGTGCGCACCAATAGTTCAGCATGAAAACCCAATAATTTCATGTAGAATGACATTATACGCGGTAACGTTAATAATTATGCGCAACATTTCGTTATCGACTTAATCACATTTGCCATTACCATCATAATTACCATCACAACTGAATGTTTTACGGTCGAGATGGACCGTGAAACGAGTGACGGTCGAGTGTCGATCAGTCTTGATGCATATAGATACATTTTTACGTATAAATGAATACGAGCGTCCCTGCATATATATTCCTGCGGCATGCGTTCCGATACAATAATCGCATAAACATGTCCGACTGAATAAAATATTCAGCAAGAGACAGTCACGTGCTGATGAAACATTACATTTGAAATAATAATTGCGTCTCTAGTGTTGCGTGAAAATTTGCGAGAGTGCTTTACCATTTGGTAATTTCAATAAAAATTTAGACACATACGTGGAATTTCGGGAGGGAATTTTCCGAAAAAGAAGAAGGGCGGAGGACAAACTTTAGAAGTAAGGACGACGACTCTTCGGAAAGAAAAGAGATTTTTTGGGAGAGAAACGATCTCCTTGCCGTTCAACTCGCTTCCCGAACTGTCGTTAGTACGAAGGAAAGGGCGTATTACATTCGCGACCTTGAAGCGAATCTCGCGAATGGCCGAGCAACTCGTCCCTTCCTGATTACCTCCTCTGCGAAGAGGAGCTTCTCGAGGACGCGCTACGTAGAGCACCCACGAACTTGCTCGGGGGTCTCCTTCTTCTCCGAACGACCGGCAAATGAGTTATGGAAATTAAAGCGAATATTTCGTCGGCGGAATTATGCGAAGTTCGCGGACGTAGATAGGCGGAAACTTCGGCCGGCAGCTCGATCCCCTCGATTACGTCAACAGCCTTTCTCCCCGGCGCGCCGCAAACTTGCAGAAATCGCGCAACTCCTATCGTCATTCTCGGCATCCCGACAACGAAGAAACGGGATGTGTTCGCCGGCACTCCGGTCGACCATTAGATATCGTCCCGAGAGTTTTAGTTCTTCCCGGACGAGATGGAACTCGGAAAGTTCGGCGAGCCGTGCGCTTATCCGTGCGAGAAGCCCGATATTTCGCCTAATTACTGTCGGAGCTTGCCCGGAGCTGCGCGAGGTCCGCGCGAATAATTTGCGGAATTATTCGGGCGCGGGCCTGAAATGTAATCTTCTTTTTTTTTCCTTTGCAAAATTTGGACACATGAATACTCTGAAATTTATATTTACCGCCTCATTGCCTGTAAAATATTCCTCGAGTGACTTGATATTTATTTTTCCAACAAGTTTTCTACATAACTGTGCAACGTCGGCCACAAGTAGGTTACCTTATAACTTGTTACAAATTATATAACTTGAGTTTTCGTAAATTCCTTTTACCAAGACATCGGAGGGAACGCCTGCATTTTTAATCTCTCGAGCATTAGGAGGCTGGGATTGCAAGACGATTGCAGCTGGGTTAGATGTTAATTTATCTTCGCGCCTTGCAGATCTTACGTCGCTGCATGTCTGTACGTGGACCATTAATATTATTTAAAACAGCGCGCGTCCCGTGATTTATTGTTCGCGTAATCGCCGGAGTGTCGCGCGGTCCAGCTGGTCGCGGCCGGAGGAAGGAAGTCGATCCATTTCTCGCAGATGCGAACCGACGCGGGTGCTCCCAACTGTATTCTAAAGATCTCGGGGGAAGATTTCTTAAGACCGCGACAGGAATAAAAGTCCCGCCGCCACCTGCCCCATCGGCCGTTCCTCTTGTTCGCGCCTACGAAATCGCTCGGTACGTGCGTGTTCGATTACGAACGTGATAAATAACTTGCGCTCCGCCCCTACGGTTAATTGCTCGTTCTCGCTTGATCGCGAGATACGCTCTCGCGCCTCCGATATAAGCGCAGCTCCTTCTGAGGTAATTGTAACATTGAGCGATGAATCATGATGCAAGCTTTGGGCCGCCAGCACCATTCGGTGCTACACCACAATGTTCACGCACGCAACACAAGCGTGCGTGAGCCTCGTACACAGTAAAAAATAAAATGTTAAAATTTTTTACATGTCCCAGAAAGTCCACTCTAAATTGTAAGTTAAATTAACATTTATCGCGCGTGTTACTTTTTGACAAATTATAAATGTTAATTAATCAACACTGTGCTTCACATTTACGCTTATGTTCTTTCAACCTTAAGTGTGATGTAATAGAAACAGACAGGATAAGTAAACTGTACGAATGGTTGCAAATCAGAATAGTCGAAGTAATTTTTAAGAAACGTCGATACTACAGGTTTCGGTTGATTTTGTGAAATAGTTGTGTTAAAAGAACTCAAAATAATGTTCAATTTTTCAATAACATACATAAAGTGTCAAGTTATTATGTTAACATCAATATAGCACATAAAAGTGTTACGAAAATAACAGCATATCTGTTTTATGTTAATTTTACATTGAAGTAAGAATGAAATCTTTGTAACACAAGAAAATTTTAACATTTGAACACACGATTTTTTACTGTGCAACGTAGCTCGCGCAGCACTCGATGGTGCTGGCGGCCCGCGGTTTACGTCACTAGCAGTGTGCGTTTTAATTTTTTCCTACGATTAATACAAATTGTCCAATCCACTAGAATGCGATTAATTTCCATTAATATCCTCGTTGGGGGAAAAATAGCCGTCGCGATTATCTCACTTGCGCGTTTGTCATGGTCGAACTGAAAATAATATCATCGATCAGGAAATGCGAACGAGTGATAAAAGACAGGCGATTTGAAAGTTATTTCAAGTGTCTTTAACCCATCGAAATCGCATAATACTTTCGCCGAACGTGAAAATAACTAGCCAGAGACTCGTCAGATTTTCTGCGATGCAACGAGCAGTTTTTAAAAGTAATTTTTTTCTCGTTCATAAAAAGCACTCACTCTTTAGTGTACATTTATGTGTATTCTTAATAAAACATTCGGGAATTTATACTCAACTTTTATTCACTTTTATATCAATATGATAAAACGCTGCTCGCTGGCTTCGATGTTCGGGAAGTAAACACGATCTCGATGGATTAAGTTCAATCAATGGCCGATGGGTTCTCCCATTTCGTTATTAAAAAGAAATTGAAAATGTTTATTCGTTTGTTTCTGGAGTAAATTAAGCCCGCGCGAAACATATGATGAATGCGCGGGCATCGATAGCGACCGCGGGGGGCGGGCCGTGGGGTTAATGGAACCGCGTCTTGCGTATTATTGCAGATTATCGTCGCATAATATCGCGCGAGAAAATTACGTTGTTACCCGCTACGTACCGCCGCCGCTGAATAGAGCCCGGCGAGCAATTTCGCGAGGATTTGTATTCGTTATCGACGTTAAATGCACGGCGTAAAAGCGACCCCGGGAATCTAATTTGCAGTTACCCCTTACGTCATAAATTGAGCGCGCGCACCAACGTCAGATCTACGTGACGTGTTTTTCGGACGCCCGGGCGTGTTTTCGCCGAATTTCGGGATACGGTAAATTTCGCGACCCACTGCGACTTCGTGACGTATGCGGTATGCGTGTGTGTAACAGGTGTGGGCGAGGTGTACCGGGCGAAGGTGATGTTTTTAATTAAAAACTCGCCTTCGCCGAGTCGGACGCCGGGTCGCGCGGATACCGGCAAATTGGAGTCCTCGGCGGAAAAATATCCCCCGAGATTATTCCACGGGCACCGCGGGTCCGCGCCTTTCCGCTTTGCTCTCTTCAGCGCGCCTTCCCGACGTGTATCCGCGACGCGCGAACGTATTTCCATTAAATTTCTCGTACCGGCCTTTATCGCGTTGCTGCCGTCGACTCTCGCCGCGACCTGAACTTACGGGCGCGCGAGAAAAATAACGTCAGAATTTCCAAAGCGCGCGAGAAACGCGCGCCGGAGCTGTGCGCCGAAGAAATATCACTGGGAACATCGGAGCACCCGAACTTCCGCAAGGCCGTCCGAAAATATACAATTACGCGCAGCTGCCTTGTTACATCTCGCTTGAATCTGACTCCGCCTCTAAACGAAAAACGCTCGCCGATTCATTAAAATTAAAAAACAAATAATTTTACCGAATTTTTTTGCAGAGCAAAAAATGCGAATATGCGTGAAAAGTTTTCTCTATTTAGTTTCCGTTGAAATTTTTCCATTGAGAACATGTTGACGTTTCGCGTTTCGTAAAAATTTTATTATATCACTTTTATTTATATAAGTGATATTTTTTCGTACGTATCCGTGTAGATGTTGTGCAAACAAGCATTTTTCCACTGTGTTTTTCCGTTATTCGTTTATGACATTCTATCGGGATATAATTCACCCTTTTTTTTTAGAAATAAGTTGCGAAAATAAGCGAAACGTCAAAAAGCGGGCCTGCGTCCTCTGAAAAAAAAAAATCGCTGAATTTCGATTATCCGTTTCTCGTAAGAAAAGTCTATTAGCGGTCGTAACGCCGGTGCGTCTCCGCGCCAGCGAAAAAATAGCGTCTGCCTCGTCCATATTTCGCGGCTAAAAGAGATCGATGTACCGCGCGGGTGCGTCTAAATGACGTT